TCTTACTGCCACCCCTACTGAGAAGTGCAGAATCATGGAGGTCATAATTAATTTGATTTCTTTGCTTGATAGGAGCTTCCTTTCTTGCAAGCTCTTATTCGACATCTATCGAGTGGCTTCGAGATTGAAAATGAGCAAACATTACAAATCCATTTTGGAAAATCTTATTGGTCTACAACTGGATCAAGCAACCATAGATTTTTTGCTTGTCCCATCACCACAAAAGAAACTTTACATGTATGATGTGAATCTGGTACTGAGGCTGACAAATGCATTTCAGAATGAACTAAGTCATTGCCGATCCCCAGTTCGATTTCGAAAAGTTGCAAGCTTACTCGATTCTTACCTTGTGGAAGTTTCAGCAGATTACTACTTGAACCCTTCAAAATTCGCAGCATTAGTCCTCCTGCTACCAGCTTCTGCAAGAGAATCCCATGATAGGCTTTTTCAAGCCATAGACATTTATCTACAGGTATTGCTATCAACTTATAAATGTTTACCTTTCTTATAAATGCAATTAATTGCTTTGCACAAAATTTATAGCAAAGCTGATTCTCTATTTTTTTTTTACAATTTAAGTAATGATGTTGACATAGTATATTCCTTAAAAGTTTGCAGGCCCTTCCCTGGGGCTCAATCAATTCGGTCTTGTAAAATTTAAGATAATTCATTTCATATACAAAATGATTAGGGCAAAACTGATATTGTAGCTGGTTAAGCGTACATGCTAATTCTAATTTGATTGCTCATACCTGAATGAGATCACTTATTAGTTAGTATTGGGATCAATGCTAATCCAATATCTCAAGTTTGCTGACTGATGAAATTTCTGAACAGGTTCATGGAGGAATATGTGAAGCACAGAAAATGAGAATTTGCAGTGCACTTGACTATGCAAATCTCTCGACGGATGCATTGAGACACTTGGCTCGGAACTCGAAATTTCCGTCAAGAATAGCTATACAAGGTTTCCTTAATCACAGTCGAAGCTAGAAAACTTACTTGATATCGACACATTTAGCAGATCCATCTCTACCGAGGAAAGTATCAAAGAGAGAGAGAACAACGATCAAATCGTTGTGGATGCAAAACGAGTCGGCATTCGGGGGAAGGCCGAGCAACTTGATGAACAGCTGCAAGGAATGCAATGCAGAGCAACAGAACTGGAGAATATCTGTGGAATAATGCATGCTCAAATAGGAAATATTCCGAGAACAAGATTATCCAGCCTAGGTAATAATGCTAGATTCTTACCAAAACTCTGCTCTTGAAACATACCCTTGACTCCATAGTCTTTTATAGTTTAGCCCTGCATTGTTTTTGAAAAAATATATTTGTACATTCTGTGCCAATTAATGTAAATATAGATTACTTTTCTTACAAATGTTGTAAAAGAGTGACCCGTGGATTGCAAATATTGTCACTTTTTATGACTCAATTAGATTTGTATTTGATGATTTTCTGTTAGTTTCATTTCCAGATTAAGTTTTTCCATTCTGTTTCATATGAGTGAAATACAGAAGCCAAAAAGAAAGTTCTAAGTTTTGCTAGGTTTTACCAACTGACTACTAACAACAGTTTGTTGAATGTCAACAAAATGTAGTTATCAAAGCAGTCATTATTGAACATCTCTAAATCTCCTCCTCACATCACTTTTTATCATATTCATATTTCTGCAAGAAAACCAACTGCAGTAGATAAAAAATAAAAATCGCTTTTGTAGTAATTCAAAACGGTATTGTTTTGGTATAAATTTAATTTTTGTAGCGAGTCAAAATGACATCATTTTGGTATGTTATCACACCGCCTGCAATGTCAAATCACTATTAATCAATAGTGTGTCCAAAACAAGAGTAATTCAAAAATTCAATAATTAGAATAAAAATTTTAAATTTTAATGATCAAAATGAGAGAGAAAAGAAAGTTGAGTGAAAATTTGTAATTTAACCTAAGAGAAATAATGGATGTTTCCAAAGGAATATCCGTATTAAGAGCCACTCCCTGCCAAGGCAGCCTGCGAACAATGCGGCGAAGTGCACGCGTGGTTACGGGGCTCACAACAGTAATGCTAATTTAGGCGCCCCATGGCCATGATGTTTGCAAATACATCACATTTTTTAAGTATTTTAACCAACACCCCAACACTAAAGTGAAAATAACTCGGGTCAGCCGAGTTGGTTTTGCAAAGCTATGACGTATAATAGATATCTCAATATCTACACGTATTTCTTCATTAATCTCTCAAAAGAAAAGGAACAAAAGCACTGGCGGACGCAAAGCATTCTCGGGGTGGGTTCTTGAAACCCGAATTTCTTAATATTACATGTTCGTTTTACCATGGATATTAAATCTAAAAATTTCGTAAAATTTTAATTATGTCTACGTCATAAGAAAAAATTTAATAATTAATATGTGTGTACACCTTCAAAAATATTTTAACCAACACCCCACTACTAAAGTGAAAATAACTCGGGTCAGCCGAGTTGGTTTTGTAACCTATGACATATAATAGATATCTCAATTTCTACACGTTTTTCTTCACTAATCTTTCAAAAGAAGAGGAACTAAAGTGGAAAACGTCTGCAACGTGGTCTTGTAAGCTCAAGTTTCAATGACATGGTCGTGTCTTTACCCGCAGAATGAGAATTAAAAAAAATGAAATAATGCTCTACCAAAAAATAATGAAGTAATGATTAACGATGAACGAGGACATCGAAGTAGAACAAAATGCATGACACTTCCAATGTAATGTTTTCTTTGGAAAGTGCCCCCAATTTAATGAACCATGGTTTGTGTGATCCATAAATGCAAGGGTTGGTTGAACCAGCATCCTCGAAAGGGGCAGTGCCATTACTCTCTTAGATAGAATCGCCAACAACTTCGATATTAGGTGGTTTCTTTTTTACCGATTTGTGGGAAGCAAAGATCATTAATGAATGCCAAGTCAAGAACAATGACTTCTATCGAGGCGTTAAATTTCTTATATTTATTTATACATCATAGTCAAAGCCCGAAGTGTATTTAATTTTTGCATGTAAACCCACATACTCATGTAACATATGTAACATGAGGGCTAGGTGAACATCTGCTGGCCACTAGGCCATTTAGTGATTTTGGCGGCGACATTGTGTATGAAATGCGGGCTTGATTGGGCTCGTGGTTAACCTTGAACATGCCAAGGGTTTAATAGGCTTATGATCATTTCAATAATTCGTACTAGTGTCGACTGGGTTCGGTGAGCCCGGATCAATATGTTTTTGTGTTTAAAATTTTTTAACTTCGGTTCTTATCAATGGTGTAAGATAATGAAATGATTAAAATATGTTTGGTAAACATTAGTGGTGAGTACAGTTGTAAGAATGACTAAGGGATAATGTTTAATATTAAATTAAACATAATTTATCTTAGACTCATATTTCCAAATTTTAATTATCTTGATCTCAAATATTTTCTCTCCGACTTTTTGAATTTCAACTCTTCCTAGTATATTTAAAACCAACGATTACCTGCAAAATTAATTTTGGGTATCAAACGCTTATGTTCATACTCCACCATATCAAACGTACACAGTTCAAGAAAACCCCAAGTAGAAATGTGAAAAATGCATAATAGTCTCCCTAAGTGAAATTATTTAATGAAGATAAACCCCCAATAAACAAAACCAAATCACTCCATTATTTAGGTATAATTATTTGACCAAATCTTGCATCATTCAGCACTTCAACAAATCTGTTTGTTTTCATAGGCAAAAGCACATAAAAAACAAGGAGAGCAATTAACCAACACTAGTTTACACGCGTTTTCTTATTAAAAACATGTATATTGCAAGGGATAATCAATATGGCTTAGGCAAACCGAACTTAATTTAATAGTTTGTATGTGGACTAGTTGATTATTGTGTTGTTAATAATATATTATTTGACTTTTGTTGATGAAACCAAATTAAAAGGACATCGGGATTTTGGGTTTCTGTATACTTGTTAAAGATCTGGTAGGATATTATGTGTATTAGGTTAATGTGGGAGACGTTTAATATAAGCTTGTTTTGTGGGTGATTTGGAATGTTGTGGTTGGAGGAAAGCTGTATTGACCCCTTAAAAAGGATAAGCAGTTTATGTCAGGTGCTATTTGACCTAAGCTGGAAATAATACATGTTGCATCTCACGCACTACTCTAATATTGTTTCCCGATCTTAATTGTCTCTAATCTCAGCATACCACAAAAAGAATAAGGTAAATATTGAAGCAGGAGGTAAAGTAGCAGAAAAGAATTAAAAATAGAAAATCAAGAGTAATAGACGGCGATAACAGCAACAAAGATGAGGGTAAAGTGAATGAATCATCAGATCTCATATAGGTAACTAAGCCAATAACCACAGCCTCATTATGCATTAAAGCTGTACACAACTAAGAAACAGATGCATTCTAGAAACAATCTGAGAAAATAAAACGGGAAAAACATAAAAATTTTGGTCAACAATATATTCAATCCAGACCCTTACTCCTCTTCATTAATATAGCCCACTTCCTTCTTTGGATCAACACTGATAGTTTACCCCACCAATAAAGGAACGGGCTTAACCACCTTTAACTGAACCAACAACTTGAATCACCTCAACCAACTGTTAACATTCATCCCGCTTCTTGAACCTTTAACCTAAAAAAAATAGAGCACACCAACTTCTAAGCACACAAAAAACAAAGGAGAAACTTGAAAAAAAAAACAACTTTAACCACTAGGATTGTTGCTACAACACCACATTCAAAGCATTTCTCAAAGTTTGGAAACGAGTAGTAGACAGTGGTTTAATGAAACGTCTGCCACCTGAAACTGAGTTGGAACGTAGTTAACCTCTAATCGTTGATCCATTACTTTTTTCCAAACAAAGTGAACGTCCAGATCTACATGTTTGACTTTAGCATATAGAACTGGGTTGGCTGACATTGCCACAGTACTAGTATTGTCACACCAAATGAGAGGTAATTGAGATGTCTTTACACTCATATCCTCAAGAACTCCTTAACCCAAAGTATCTTTGAGGTAGCATCGACCAGACTATGGTATTCATCCTCCGCAGTCAACCAAGAGACATCAAGTTGTTTCTTTGAACTCCAAGTAACCAAGTGCTTGTCAAGAAAAACACAGTGGCTTGACACTGATCGACGATCATCAGGAACACTTCCCCAGTCAGCATCTATAAAGCCACAAAGATTAGCAATATCAGACTGTGTTCTTATCCACAAACCATAATCCAAAGTACCCTTTAAGTAGTGAAATATCCTTTTAACAGTTGACCAGTGAGCTTGACATGGTTGTTGCGTGTACTGGGAAACCTTATGCACAACAAAAGCAATGCCAGTGCGAGTATGACACACATACAACAAGGATCCAATAGCACTTCGATACTCCTGTGAATCCATATGATCACCACCAGTGCAACTCAACTTTGGTGCCACAAACATTGGTGTATCAACATGCCTAGCTTGCTCCATGCCATACTTATTAGAAGTTCTTCAATGTATTTTTTTTTTACTTAAAAACATCTCATTCTTTCCATGTGTAGCTTCAATGCCAAGAAAATAACTCACCAAACCCAAATACTTTAAAGAAAAGTTGGCATTTAATTCAACAATTATACATTTAATATGTTCTTCGGAAGAACCTGTCACAAGTATATCATCCACATAAACGATAACATAAGTAATCAAGGTTAATGACTTAAAAATAAACAAAGTATTATTTGACCTAGAAGATATAAACCCCATTGAAAAAATATGATCACAAACCCTTGTAAACCAGTTTCGTGGTGTCTGTCTGAGCCCATAGAGAGCTTTGTGTAACCTACACACCAACTGCTCTCCCTTAGACCCTATCTGCTCATACCCATCTAGATGCCTCATATATACTTCCTCAGCCAGATCCCCTTTAAGGAAGGTGTTGTTGACATCCATCTAATGCACCTGCTAACCACATGAAACAACAATTGACAAAAAAAAATTAAGAGTGAAAATTTTCACTACTGGACTGAAAGTCTCCACAAAATCACATCCGGGTACTTGAGAGTACCCTTTCTCAACCAAACATGATTTATAGTAGCTGACTGACCCATCGACATTATATTTAACTTGAAATAACCACTTACACCTGATAGTCTTTCTAACAGGAGGAAGAGGAACTAAACTCCAAGTGTGTTTGTCAATGAGAGCATTATACTATACTTTAATTGCCTCACGCCACAGAGAATGTTGAAGAGTATCCTGCACATGAGAGAAAACACTAACACGAACAATATTATAAACTTTGGGTTTGAAGATACCCAACTCACTTCGTGTAACCATGTGATACTAATTATAGGGAGCGACTGGCTGAACTTGAACACCTCAACATCAGTCAGATTATTATGATCACTCGTGGAATCATGTTGAAGAGGACTAGCTACAAGGCCATCAATAGACAAATTATGATCAACATCGGACTCCCTTGAAATAGAAGCCTGTAAAGTAGACTCTGTTTGTGCCACTGCAGTGGATTCTATAGAGCTAAGCACAACACCAAGTTCAACACCGTCCACTGGACTATTGCAAGCTTCTCGAGGAAAAGGGTCAATCAGATATCCTTGAGAGTTAGAGTCAACCTTGTAACACCCTAGACTAGTATGACACACAGTAGACATATTAGGATGCTACACAGAACCACCAGAGTGGCTGACCAAATTTTCTTACTTTCTTTGACTTCAAAGTAATCATTTTAATAAAATAAAATATAATAATATAATAAAAATTTACACTGAGGAGTTAAAAAATAAACATATTTACATTTCAAAATAATATAGACATACTTTAAATTGAATATAAAACTCAACTGGAAAACAATTTTTACAAATATACATGACATTCGAAACGTTGAGATGTACTATGATCTGCTCTGGTCTGGACCTCGGTCACTCTAAATCTTCTCGGATGCTCCCCCTAATCTACGTAAGGAAACAAATTCCAAACGTTGAGCTAACTAGCTTAGTGTCACACTAACATCTAAATCATACTAATTGTATAACACTGAAAGGCTCAAGCTATCAAGTCTACTGCTTTTCGTTAGTGAGTATACTTGCGTACTCACTCTCTACTCTATGGTAGACATCATGGTGCGGCTGAGGGTTCTGCATCTCGGAGCTCACACACCCCTCTAGTCTACAGAGAATGTGGCCCTCAGAATATTTGTTCGGGCACCATACTCTCGACTAACCCACCCCTTGTGAGTGTCAGGCCTTGGCCTTAGTTAGTCAGCTTAAAGTGCGTCACGCACTCCTTAAGGATATATCCGGACTGAAACTATACTTTCGAATCCACTAGATTTTCTAAAGAAACTCGGTTGTCCTAATCATTTCCCGAACATGTAAACAAGGCTAGTCTTATTTGATCCTATTTTATCTCAGTTCTATGTTAGATTAATCATTATTATTGTTCTCACTTGTGATCTTATTCGAGAGTAATTATACGCTTTTTGGAAAAACCTCATCTCATATTAACTCCCCTGATATTAAAACCATCAAAACCTGACTGTTGGTACCGATACTCCTTCTCAGGTATCGATATTCAAGGCAAAACTTTACTAAGGACAAAATGATAATATCTATACTCTCATTCCAGTATCGATACTTACATGCTATAGTATTGGTACTGACTAGGGTACCGATATAAAAAATGGCATTCTGGAATTTGAAAAGTAATCTTGGTATCAATACAACCCTTTTGAATATCGACGCCAACCTTGTAGTATCGATACTCTTATGGGGATTATCGATACAACCCTTTAGATTTAAACCCATTTTTGCTCTGCTGAAGAACAATATTAGTACTGACTCATACAATACAGATACCCATTTTTGCCCTATTAGAGGTTTCCCATTTATTATTAAATCCTATTTGCTTTTTAGGGGTCATAAATAAGGCTTTGAAGCATACTAAAACATCTTTATAAAAAATATACCATGAAAACTTGCTATACATGTTTCAAACTCAATTTCTAGTTATAACACATTTCTAATTATCTAACTCTAGTATAAGGAAGATGTGAATGTGTTATATAATCCCACTTGCTGCTAAAGCCTTCCAACACAACTAGGAGATATTTTTTCTTTACCTCTTGCGTTTGAGCTTTCCCCAATTTCTTTAGCTAATTAAAGGTAAGAAAAGGGGTTTACTAACTTATCTAAAGCTTAAAACAAAGTTAAGAACACTCTAATTAACTCAAACTTGCTAGAACAAGCTTAAATCTCTTAAAAACCCATTTTCTAAAACCTTATCCAAAACTTAAGATTTGGGGCTTGAAAAGAAGCTTAAGGGTTAGAAGTTAAGATTCTTACCTTAGTTGACTAAATCTAGGCTTGGAACTTGGAAAAACTTCTACCTTTCTGCTTGTTATTGGGGAGGAAAAAGAAGAGAAAGAGAATAGTGTTTTTAGGTGGCTTGGTTCACGTGAAATCCCTTATTTAAAAGGGGATTCTATCCATTAAAACAAAAAATAGGTAAATACACTTTTGGTCCCTCACCTTTAAAACCCAACTAAAAACCACCAACTTAGCTTTAACTCTTGGGCCTACTTTAGGCTCAATGCTATTAAGAAATGATCTAAACTGGCTTGGGAGATCTAATGGGCTCGACTTATGGATTTCGGGTTTACCCAAACTACTGACCTGGATTTAGGGTATTACAACTCTCCCATCCTAATAGGAAATTTTGTCATAGAATTTTCGATAAGGCATCTACATCTTTTCTAACCCACTAGGACACCTAATTCTAAGGGCTGAAGACTGGCTCAACTAAGGTGATACTGAATAGAAAATAGGGTAAGATTACCTGAGATCACATCATTTGCATCATCCTCCACCTCCTGAGCTCTGATCGCAAACTAAACTGTACCCCTACAGGCCTGACCAGAAGAACTCTTTCCCCTCTAAAATCCTCCGCCCCTCTAAACAATTAAAGCTTACTGTTGGTTTAAAGTTGTGGCTACATTTGAGCTTCTAGGAAATCTCGGAGAAAATGTTTCAAATATCTACAACGGTAATACCCTGAGTCCCAAACCGAAAAACTCCTAAATCTCTCATACCACAGATAGAGCAAGTAGGTTGAGAATGCGTTCTCGACGATCCTCCAACACTAACTACTGGTGTGGTAAACAGTGGTCACCTGTGATGATTGATCCTACTCCACCCCCACTAGAACTCTATACTAATTTGCTAGACTGACCTACTGGGGTTTTCCCATGCTCATGAGATTCTCTCGCCCTCTTGGAATGTGAGAATGGTTCTTCTGACTCACTCACTCCTCTACCCTACCAGAGGTGGCACCTTCTTCCATGACTTTTCTTCTAAAACTCTCTCTACTGCCTTCGCCTGACGAACTAACTCGACAAAGACTCGCAGTGGATTGGCAGCTAACTGAGTCAAGGAGTCTACTTGAGACTCTATTTGAACTTTCTACAGCGATGATACTATGATGAAACCAACTCTGGGGCATACCTACTCAACCGAATGAACTCTACCTCATACTCGAATATTGATATGTCCCCCTACATCAACTAAGCTAATTGATCCCTCATTGCATCCATATGAGCCTCTCTGACATACTTATGACAGAACTCCTCTAAGAACCAGGCCCAGGTGGGTCGCTCGAGTTCTAACAATATATCCACAGTCTCCAACCAGTCTATCGCATCAAAATTTAGAAGGGAGATTATGCACTCTAGCATTCCCTTGGGAGTGAGATACAACTGACGAAGAGTCCTAAGGGTTTCTCTTAACCTTTGGTCGGCTACGACTGGAACATCGTCTCCTGACCCAAAGAAATCGGTGGTTCGGGACCTCCAAAACCTCTCTACTAGGTTTTCTAAGGTATTATAATAGGATGATCTAACTGGGTTGGCTAAACAAGTGGGGGTACAGGTGTCTTAGGAAGGGTTGTAGCTATACGTTCCAAGGTAGAAGTAGGATTTCTAAAAAATTTGCCTTATCTACCCCTGCGCCCTCGGGCTCTTCAACCTCTATGTATGGGACAAACTCATCTCCCAAATCACTGGCTAAGGAAGTTCTACTCTCATCTCTACCCTCTCTACTACGATTTATCATCTCATCCATATCTAAGGTTTTAGATTAAGAGAAAAATGAAGGATTACTACTACTATTACAGATACAAGAGTACGACATAACTCTTTAGGCATGTATACTCATAAAATCTCTACTGAAACTAACACGCGGGTCCTAAAAACACCTAAACCTTTGTTTTGATACCCCTAAATATATCCTAGACGAGTACGACATATTGTCGACCAATTAGGATGCTACACGGAACCACCGAAGTGGCTGACCAAATTTTCTTACTTTCTTTGACTTTAAAGTAATCATTTTAATAAAATAAAATATAATAATATAATAAAACTTTACACGGAGAAGTTCCAAAATAAACATATTTACATTTCAAAATAATATAGACAC